ACAAAATGATCCTCCTTTTATTTACAAAAAATGTGATAAATGAAAAACCGCTCGACCGATTTTGTGCAAACTTCACATAAACCATCTAATAAATAGTCCGAACAAAGCCTAAACATTAAGTTTGGCTAGGTGAGCCCGTTCTTGAGTTATAAAATTACAACGAAAAGTGGCATTAATTTTTATATAGGTATATAGATATAGATACAGGAGTCAGTCGCTGATTGTTTCAAACCAGTTTTCTTTAGAAAAGCATCAAATTTCTGATTCCAGACGCGACTGGCCTGTTTCAGTCCATATAAGGATTTCTTCAAACGACAAACTTTGTAGGTTTGGTAAAAATATTCGGGGTGAAACGCTGTTATTGCATCTAGCTGATCTATGTCTATATTATGTTCTGCAGCAAGTGCATCAAATACCTAATGGAAGTGTAACGAGCAACGGGTAAATAGGTCCCCTCAAAGTCTACTTCTTTTCGTTGTGCACAGCCCTTGATCACTAGTCGAGCTTTATGCTGTGTCACCTGACCATTTTCGTTTCGGTTGGTTTTAAACACCCCATTTACAATCCAAAGGCTTTTTATTAGGTGGTAGACCTACAAAGTCCCAAGTTCCTTTTTCGATTGAGGCTTCATACTCATTTTTCATAGCAATGAGCCAATTTTCCTTATCTGATTGACTGAGGGCTTCCTAGCCTGTTGTAGGATCGTTTTCTTGTTTAGTTGTTGTAGCATATATGTTACATAATCTCTTAATGATTCGGGAGGTTTATTATTTCGCTGTGATCTTTGAACTGGTGCTTGCTATTCTTGTATAACTTCTTCAGGAATATACATGGGATCATCTCCAATGACTATCTTCTCCAGAAGTGTCTGAAGAAAAATCAGCATACTTATCAGAAGAGGTGCTAACACCACCCTTGCTGATTTTCTTCTTCGATTTGAGGTTCCAAGTTCTTGCGGGTAACAATAAAGATCCTCTTTCAGACTCGATGAACTGGACATCTTTTGAGATAAAAACTATTCTTTATTCAACGTCATGAAGTCTATATAGGCTTTAGATTCCAAGCTGTAACTTACGAAAATGCATGAAATGGCCTTTGGGTCCAACTTCTTTCTTTTTTCAACTGGGTTGTGAGAGAAAGCTTTTCAAATGTTTCACTGTTGGCTTATTTCCACTTCAAATTTCTCTACGCATCTAGTTGGCAAACGATTTAAAATGTACACAGAAGTAGAGACGGCCTCTGCCCAGAAATTATTAAAAAAACCTGGCTCGATCAAAAGACAACGAGCATTTTCCACAATTGTTCTGTTCAGTCTTTCGGCTTTGCCATTTTGCTGAGCACTATAAGGGAGTGTTGTCTGATGCTGAATGCCGGTAGACGTAAAATAGTTTGTTAATTCATTAGAACTCTCCACCATTGTCTGTCCTAAATGAGTTGATTTCTTGATCTGTTTGTGTCTTGGCAAAATTCTTGAAAATTTTGAAGTATCCAAATACTTGGTTCTTATTTTTCAAACAATACAGAAAACTTTTGTGACTAAAGTCATCCAGAAAGGTAAGTAGGTATCAAGAACCTGACACAATGAATTTTCCTGCATCGGTCGGCAAAAATCCGAATGGACCAACTGTAGGTGTAACGTGAGTAACTTTCTCTGAATGGCAAACGATGAATTTTTCCTAACATGAAACTTAACATACAGAGTCTTGGTTAAAGTTTTCATTCGAGCCAATGTCATGTATACTAGTCCATTTTTTAGCTTATGGAAACTTGCTGATTTGACACGCGCCGAACGCTTGCGCCATACATTATTCCTATTTATTATTATCAGCTGATGCATTAAACAATGAAGAACCATCGACATTAACTGAACAGATTATCTTCATGACTGGCGATTGCTATCAATTTATTTGAATTATTGATATTCTTGGCACCTTCAGAGTTAAAAATTACAGTAGGTATTGCCTTTGTTGACAATCTGACTGACTGAAGAAAGGTTACCATTAACTGATGATATATTTTTCTGAACAGATTATGACAGGTTTGCTTCACCATAGGAATCACTCCGCATTTATTGTGTTGTTTGCTGTGGTGATTGTCAAACTAGAAGAATTTGTAACATTCTGTAGTATATCATGGTTTGCTGTCATGTGAGCTGAACATCCAGAGTTCAAATACCACAAACCGTTGTTATTTGTTTGTACAGAAAACGCTGAAAACAATGCGGTATTACCTAATTTATTAGCCAAGTGACCATATGTGTTACTACCAGAGTAACGAACGCCTTTCGATTTATTTGACCCGAAACGATTGAACTGAATCGATTTGTCTCTTCTTTGTTAAATGACTGAAAATTACCAGATGTACCAGCACCGTACATTGCAACATTTGGTTGCATAGAGTCTGCCTTAACTGGAGTGCCTGAACTCTCAATTCCCATTATCATAGGTTTATAGGATTCTGGTAAACCGGCTAGATAACTTGTAAGCTGTAGTAATAATTTTGTTGACATAGTCTTCAACTGAATCACTATTTTCAAGAGTTGTTAGTTATCAACATGCGTAGAAGTCTAACACGCCGCGCTAAACCTGTATCTTGAAATGCACTAGCTAATAGTTGTCTCATGCTTCTAAAGCTGTTTTAGCTGTATGAACATGAACATAATTCAGGGGATCAACCAACAAGGTAATCTTAGAGCGATCTTTTACAACTTTTTTACTGTTTGCAACGGTACCTGTAACTGATTCCTACAAGTCTTCATGTTCTAAGTACGTCTGAACCGCAAACTTCCAGGTATTATAGTTTTCAAGGAGTTTTTCAATCGGTGGTAACTGACAACCGGACATTTTGGAACAAAAAAGTTCAGTAGACGCAACGGCAGAAACACAAAGAAAAAACAATTATTTTCAGAAATAAACTATTTCAAACGGTATTACAAAAGGCCTGGGCCCATAACCTGTTGCGAAATATGTTTTTGGGAATAGGTTCACAAACTGGTTTTTAGTACCTACTATTTATCTATAAACGAAGTGCCTGCTTATTACCCTATCCAAAACACGTGACTTTGACAAGCAAAATATGGCCGGCAGGAGGATCACAAACTACTATTTACATACACTATTTCTAACATTATTAAAAACAACAGTTTTAGGTATAACAACGCAATTAATTCACAATTAACTCATAACACCATTTGATAACCATAAAACGTAGGTTAGTGGCTAGTAGCTAAAAATAAAATGTCATTCTACACTGCCAAACTGTGTTGCTACGTTAGGACTGGACATATTTCGAATTATTGATTTGTTCCAACAATATTTAGATATGACAGTTCTACCCAGTCAATCATCGAGTCTAGTCTAGGGGAATTTACTTAAATTCTTCCAAAAATTCAAAGATCAACAGTTTTTAGGAAAATACATCTTGGAAACCGTTTAATATCACCGCCTTCGGCGTAAACAGATTGCGACTTCCACCGAAAGTCAAACGAACCGCCACTACTACTTGTCGAAGATAACCAAACTGCCTGATGAGCGGTTTTCTTTGATCTGCTCTTTTCCGCGACTCATTCAAAGAAACTATTAAACGATACTGTACATAAAAATTTCAGATTTCATTGATGTGCCACGCTGTACTTTTAGGATGTGAACCCACATAAATCTTTCAATATCTTGAAATTGGAAAAATTGGATCCGGTACACAAACCAAACGGATTTGAATCTCAAATCCATTTTCAAAATCATAATTTTTATCCATGCACTCTTCTAAATCTGGAAACCTAATCTCCCAAATCCTAAATGCCTTGTCAAAAAATTATAGTATTATAGTAAACTGTGTCTAATTGCCGAGTCGAAACGAAAGATTTATTTTAATGGACGGTTATTTTCGTTTTTATGTCATCGTGAAAACGAGGGTTGCTTGCTCTAAGGGCGGCACCAAGATGACTCTATTTCCTGTTTCTGTGTGGTGCCAAGCTGTCTGCCACAACGTCTTTGTTTGTCTAATGGCCTGGGGATCGGATTTCGGGTGATTATCTGGTTGAAATTCGTCTAGTTTAATGGTTTGGGAATTATTTTTAAATGACCCAGAAAAAACATTGTGTTGTATTTGTTTTTGGATTACCTTGTTTTGTAGCTTTACAAGCCCCGGAAACAAGCGAGGTTTCGTACAAACAATATTATTTTTACAATAAATCGATAAAGTTACCCATCTCTATGTTATGTTATCACCTTACATAACTAGTTGTTATAAATTATACTATCTGACGGTATCAGATTATAAATTTTACTTTCAATAATTTATGTAAATGTTTCTTGTAGGTATTTAAACAACCTTGAGGAAGAATCTGTATTAGTTCATCAATTTGGATGCTTTTACCTAAAGTCACAAAAAAAAAACATCTATTTTTCATTTTTGAACTGATTTAAGTGATATAGGCACCTTGTTCAATGATTATTGATCAAATTTTTGGAACCATTGGAGTAAATTAGAGCAGGCTTTGTCATGAGTTAAAAAAAAAAAACAAAAATTAAAGGTCAATGTTTTCTTAAAAAAAAAAAACTTGTTTCTTAAATGAGTTTTATTTTAATATTCATATAAACAAAATTAGCACACATAATGAAATATTATGAAAATTCAATGAGGAAATGAAAATTCTCCACAAATCCCGACAAAAAGCGTTTTCAAACTAGAAGCAATTCCAAACAATAATTTAAAAGCGTTTTATTTTCGATGATTCTGTTACTGTTCTAAAGGTCGATATTAAATTTATAAAATCGATATCGAATTCAATGTCTCATCTCTACCAGGATCCATATTAGCGAATTCGTTGAAAGGAGCTATTAATTGAGGATTCACACCAATATCCATAATACATCTATTTTTTAAATTAAAATTTAAATGGCAAACATCAAAATCCAACAGGTTTTTTTTTTGTAAGTTCCCTATAAATATCAATTTTTTTATCAGAAGATCACCCAGTAGTCAATAGTGGTTGTTTCGAGATGAAGATTCTGGTAAGTACCAAGTTTTATATTTTGAAAATCATATACTTAAATATAGTTTTTCCAATTTCAATTACTGTTTTTGCTGAAATTTAAAATGTTTTATGTGGTTATTTTCATTTTTCTTGTTTCAATTTCTTGGAGTTAATTTGGGGTTTTCCTATTTTTTTCAGGTACTCCTTTTTGTTGTCGCCTTGAGCGCCCTACCAAATTCATTAGGGCTTAAGAAAGTTGAAAATGAAAAAACCCATTCCGTTCCACACTCCGGACAACATAAACGTAACGCCCTATCAAGTACTTATTTACCAGCCGAAACTCCATCAAACAACTACTTACCAGCCGATTCTTCCAGCTCCGGTAGTTTAGATTACTCCAGTAGCGCACCAGCCACCAACTTTGACGGTTCGGCATCTGGAGCCTCTTCTGGATACGCCAGCAATGGCGGATATTCTTCTGGACCTACGCAACACTCCTCTCAGCAATATCAAGTGCAAACAAAAACCATTCACGTTCCTTATGCCGTAGACCGTAAGGTACCCGTGCCAGTTGAAACCCGAGTACAAGTACCCGTAGACCACCAAGTGCAAATTCCCATCGACCGTCCCTATCCAGTCAATGTTGTGAAAAAGGTTCCCTTCCCGGTACATGTCGATCGTCCTTATCCAGTTCATGTTGAAAAGCAAGTGCCTGTCACAGTAGATCATCCAGTTGAGGTTAAAGTACCTTACCCCCAACCCTATCCAGTACACGTTGAAAAGAAGGTACCCTACCCTGTTGATCGTCCAGTAGTTGTTACCGTTGAGCGTCAAATTCCAGTTGCAGTACCTTACAAAGTTGAAATACCTGTAGACAGGCCATATCCAGTACAAGTTGAAAAGAAGGTGCCTTACCCAGTATACATTAACAAACCATATCCAGTCCACATCGAAACGAAAGTACCTGTACAAGTAAGAGTACCATACCCAGTCAATGTTGATCGTCCTTATCCAGTACATATTGAAAGAAAAGTGCCCGTTTACATCGAAAAACATATTCCGTACACAGTAGAGAAGAAAATTCCTTACCCAGTGCCTGTAGATCGTCCAGTTCCAGTCACAGTAGAAAAACAAGTCAGTGTTGTACAAAAACCATCATCGCAATATCTCCCTCAGCACAATGAAGGCGTAGTATCTGCTTACAGTAGTGGATTCTCTGCTTCAACTGGTTCGAACGGACAAGAATTCACTGGTTCAACCGGACAAGGCATCTCATTTTCTTCCAACACTCCAGCAGTTGGACAGACTGGTGGTGATGCTTATGCCAACTTTGGGCAACAAGTTGCCAGAATTCAATCTTCTCCTGGTTCCATTGGAACTGCTGGTTCAAACGGGCAAGGATTCTCTGGTTCAAGCGAACAAGGATTTTCTGCTTCCAGCGGACAAGGATTTGCTGCTTCAAGTGGACAAGACTACTCTGGTTCAACTGGTCAAGGGTTTTCTGCTTCAAACGGACAAGATTACTCTGGTTCAAGTGGACAAGGGTTCTCTGGTTCAACCGGACAAGGATTTTCTGGCTCAAGCGGCCAAGACTACTCTGGTTCAAGTGGGCAAGGATTCTCTGGTTCAAGCGGACAAGGTTTCTCTGGCTCATTATCTTCTAGTGGAACCAACACTCCAGTAGTTGGACAGCATGGAGTGTCATCTGTAAATGTTGATGCAGAGTTTGGACAGCAAGTTGCTAGAATTCAGTCCTCGTCTGGTGGAAATAACTATGGTCAATCAGCTAGCTACTCTTTGGGATCAGCTGGACAATCTAACGGACAATCCTTTGGATCAGTTGGTTCAAGTTACGGTCAATTAGCTGGTTCTTCTTCGGGATACGGATCTTCCTATGGACAAGCGTCCTCTCAAGCTGGTTCTTATTCCTCGTCAGGTTCAGGAAACGTACAAATTCAGCCCGCTATTTTAGTAAAATCATACAAATTAGATGATAATAATAATTCCGTTAGGTGGAACAGAGACGTGAAAAAATCTTTATTAGGTAAACCGCATAAAAATTAGCATTAAGTCATTGAATATTTTTGTAGATAATTTAAATAAATGCATTTTTAATTGATTTATTATGCTGTTTTATTTTAGTAACATTTAAAAGAAAATGTCGATACAATAAATTTGAAATTTAAAATGTGCTAAAAATAAATTACCTACTAAATAAATTATAAACAAGACTATACAATGCTAGTACCCATGAATATTAATTTAGTATAGATTATGCATAAATTTTCTCTATAGATATTGTTTGGTTTCTCAAATAAAATATTTCGAAAACACACTTTGTAAATGATGTTTTCATTCCCAAAAACCGACGCCTCAAAGTCTAGGAGAGACACCCAAACATGTGGTCTTCCCGGTCATAATTCTTCTCGAAAAATACGTGCCTCTGGTGGCATTTTGGGCCCCATTGTGAAACGACGACCCGAAACAATTAACGCAGAATCTGGACAGATTTTCTGAGAAGTCGTTTTTCATTTTTCAGTCGAGTAACTCTAGATTTTTTCGCTGTTTTTGTTATTGTTTCGAGTTATGGTTTGCGGAAGTATTTTTGTTATTTCGAGGCGGGGTACCCTGGGCCTGATGACGGAAGTGGACGATCAGGATCGGGATCGGTTCATTTGAGGAATTTTGCTTCCTTGATGAGTGTTAAATTGACCATAGGGACTGAAAAATCTGAAGTTGGTGGATAGAGGTTGCCATGATATAGGATTAAAGGTCGAAATGAGATGTATTTCAATTTCAATTTCAAATAAGCTTTATTGCCCAAAAATTTCACAATTTCATTGACAAAGCAAAAAGGAATATCTTATAATTAATACTTAAAATTAATACAATATCCAATAATTCAAACCGAACAAACACAAGACAAGAACAGTTTGACAGTCTAAAACACGTTACAACATTTACATTAACTGACATTATTTATAAAGTATGTATATAACACTATAGCTATCCCATTCAATCTTCATAAAATTCAGTAAGACCATAATATGCCTTGGCGACCAGGTAGTTTTTTACAGACATACGGAAACTCTCATAGCAGTCCCTATCCTTAATGTCTTGAGGAAGATGGTTAAACATTTTCACACTTTCATAAATTATTGATTTTTTTGTAAGGGAAAGCTTTGGTATTGACAGCGGTAGGTAGTTTTGCCTTAAATTGTAGTTCCTGTCCTGTACAAAACCAGAAAACTTTCTATAAATCAGAGAAACCGACTCAAGAATAGAGAGATTTTGAGCCACCTATTTGATCAACGTTATACGTTATCGGTTATTTTGCTCATGCGCAATAGTGAAAAAATAGCCGGTCCGCTTAATAAGTACGCTAATTATGTGGAAATAAACGGAACGTTATTAACCGATAACGTTTTAACATCTTTTACCTACGAGCGTGCTGTAAAGTGCACTTTACCGCACGTATTTGCGAATGGAAAGTATCACTTTACCGCATAGTGTGCGGTAAAGTTAACTTTACAGCATAGTATGCGGTAAAGTAGAATACAAAGTGTGCGGTAAAGTGCACTTTACCGCATAGTGTGTGGTAAAGTAGAATTTGATATTTATAATCAAAAATCCTCTCTTTTTCAGAAAATGGATTTTTGATCATTTCTAAATCTTATCTAATTTCATTAATTAATCTGATTCATAAATTAATTTTATCAATGCCTTTTTTTGGAGATGTAGATGCTCATAGGTAAAATTTTGTGCCTAACACATGCGGAAAGTGCCTCATCACTTTCCGCATTTGTTAGGTAAATAACTATTTCGCATTTCGACGTCCTTTTATATTTTCAATGTTATCCATGAAGTGCAAAACACAATTACACAAAACAAAATACAAATGAATAACTAACAATTCTAACATAAACAACAGACAACATAAAATTTGATGTTAGTTACACAAAATCAAAATCCTAACCACAAATTTTCATTAACGTTTAGCGTATAACGTCCTTCACAAGTTTTGGCTTCAAAAACTAAAAAAGGCTAAATGTCATCCGCTATTTTTCAAAGACTGCGCTTGCTCAGTTTATCGTTTAGCGTGTAACGTATTTCAAAATTTATGTGGCTCAAAATCTCTCTAATGAAAATGCAGGGCGCCGTTAATATTTCCTCCTGTACAAAAAGCGGTCGACAGGTTTCTCTACAGCCTTTCCTACAAAGATAACGTAGGGCCCTCTTTTGTAGCACAAATACGGACTGTATAGATTTTTGCCTAGAGTAACCCCAGAAAGCTATCCCGTATCTGATGTGTGATTCTAGTAGTGAATAATAAGCTGTTTTAGCTTCTTTTTTGCCAAGTTCCTGTACTACAGTCCTAACAATGTAACATCCGCTTGCCAATTTTTTATTTAAATGGTCAATATGGGAGTCAAATTTCAGTTGTGTGTCAATGTGCAACCCAAGAAACTTCACGGTTGTTCTATTTGCCAGGATTTCGCTTTCTAGTCTGATGTCAGTCAAAGAACACTTGAAAGTGAGTATGTTTGTCTTTTGTACGTTAAAACATAATTTATTTGTATCACACCACCTCTTAATTTCGGAGAGATCGTTTTCGATGGTTGTCTGAAAATTGTCTAGAGTCCTTGAAGTCCACAGACCGGTAGCATCGTCTGCGAAAGCCGTGAATTCCCCCGAAATTGCAAGGGATAGTAGGTCGTTGACGTAGAGTAGGAAAAGAATGGGTCCCAACACAGACCCCTGCGGCACACCATGGATAATCTCAGCCGTATCAGAATCAACCCCATTCACTCGGACGAACTGGCATCTACCTGAGAGCATTGACCTGAACCAGTCCGAAGCTGTTCCACGGATGCCATAATGACTAAGTTTCTGCAGCAATATTTCATGATTTACGCAATCGAAAGCTTTCGAGAAATCACAAAACACTGCCGCAGCCACCTCTCGATCATTCAAGCTGAGGTATAGTTTTTCCAAAAATGAGAAGATGGCATCATTTGTCCCTCTAGAACTTTGAAAATAAAACTGATTCCGATCAAGAACATTATGCCTCTTGAAAAAATCCACCAGTTGCTCTTTAACAATTTTCTCCATGATCTTCTCAGTAGCGAAATAGGTCGATAATTCGATGGATCTGAACTGTCTCTCCCCCCCCCCCCTTTAAAGATTGGGATTACTACTGCCGATTTCAGACAAGGAGGAAATATTCCAGCGCCCAGAGACAAATTAATACAAGAGGCTAGTGCCTCTAGAGCACTGTCTGGCAAGTTTTTCATGATTTTTGCAGAAATACTATCGCTTCCTGAAGCATTCTGGTTTTTAATACTTTTACAAGTTTCCCTGATTTTATGTTTGTTTGTTGTTTTGAAACTGAAGTTTTCTGTGTAAGATAATGGCTGTAGATAATGTAAAGGATGACTGTTAGAATTAAGATTATCTGACAGCTTTCCTGCAATGGTTGTGTAGAAGGTATTAAGTTTGTCAGGCTCAACATCAACAAAACTTTTGGATTTTTCTTTTTTTCCTCTAAATTCGTTTATCAACTTCCAGTATTCTGTGCTTTTGTTTTCTGCCTTGTTGATTCGCCTTCTATAGTGGATTTTTTTCGCCTCAATAATAACCTGTCTATATATGGTTGTGTACCTATTGAAGTACTGTATGAAAGCCTGACAGTCAGAGAACTTTCTTAGAGTATGCAGACACCTTAAGTTTTTTGAAGAGACCCTGATACCTTCAGTAACCCATATTTTTTTTGGTTTGGCTTTTATTTTTCGCAAAGGAAAGCACTTATTAAGAATTCTTGCAGCAGATATTTGAAAGCTTTGCATTGGATCCTGTGTGTTCAAACACTGGCTCCAGTTTACACTGCTTGCCAAGCTCCTGAAGGTATCAAAGTTTCTTTTGCTGTATTTTCTGCATTTTACCAAAGCTTTTTTTAGGTACCTCACCAAATAGCGTTAATTCTGCCGCCCAAGGCTTCATGGTCTGAAAGTCCTGAGGGTATAACTTTACAATTTAAATCCCCAAAATCGAAGTTACCGCACATATAATCAATCGTTGTTTCTGAATGACTGGTGATGCGTGTTGGCTCGTTCACAAATACTTTTAAATTAAATGAATGTAACAGACTTATCAAAGCTTTGGTATCTCTTGATTCCGCATCATCCCAGTCGATATTGAGATCGCCTGCGAGAATTATCTTTGATGAAAGTGGGAATCTTAGCAAAAGACTCTCGAGACCTTCCAAAAACATTGCTGGGTTTCCAGATGGAGGCCTATATGCGCATACTATGCAAATATTAAGTTTTCTTACAAAAATCAGTGAAAATTCAAATTTGTTATTTATAATTAAATCATTGTATGTGTCAATGCACTCGATCTCGTGTGTCATTGAGAAGCTGTTGTGACAAAGGATTGCTGTGCCTCCATAACCCTTCGCCCTGCAATATTTGGAAATCATCTTGTATTCTGGAACGTAGCACAACTCCTCACCAGTCAGCCAGTGTTCCGTTAAAAGGACAAATGAAAGCATATTTAAATTTTCAATTAAGACATAGAGTTCATTTATTTTGTTTCGTACTGATTGTATATTGAGTAAAAATAAAGTGATTTTAATTTGTTTCGAATCTAGTGCCCCATCCTTGCCCTCCTTCACAGAAACACTGTCGTTAATTAACCTAAAAAAGACGCCGAATCTATGTTACTTTCACTGATACCACTCAATTCAAGTATAAGATCATCAACTCGCTGAGCTATTTTAAGTTTTGCAATATTTTTTTAAACTAAAGAATTATTGAAAATGAAGAATGTAGAATTTAGAAAAGAATTTAAATTCAGAAATGTCTTAAAAATGTTTTTTAGTCGTTCAAATAACAAAATATTAATTTTGTCTATAAGTCCGTTAAGTACCGTTCTGTTGCCCCATAGCGGTACTGAAAATAAAATTAAGTTATAGTTGGGGAGCTGGCGTCAAAAACATGCAAGAGTTTTCGCAAGGCTGATATTTTCAAAATAGGTCGTACTTTAGTGCTAGAATGCTAGTGTAC